TCCCTTTAAAATCCACCATCCCAAGCAAGACATCCTTAAAATGGCACGTAAACTTGCATGCATTTCAGCCATTCCTACACCGCAAAGCACAACCCTCCTTGAGCTGCCAGCGGCAGAAACGTAATTCCACACAGCATCGCTGATCTGCGACTTGCAACAAGGTGGAAATTCAACCCTTACACATGTTAGACCGCCTTTACGAGCAGCGAAAGCCACACTCGATTTCCTGAAGTTACAGAGCGGATAAAGTACTCCCCGTGTAACTCTTCGATGTCAGCCATTGAGCAGCTCATGCGTGAACAGACCTGCCCGCTTGCCTCAGGCCCGTTTCGAGGAGCGCCCCACCGCTATTCGTGAGTCGGCAAGGACAATGGGATGCAGCGACGTCCATTCCTCTGAGTTGCACGTCCTTGAACAAATGCTGTTTACATGGCTGGTCAAGGTGCGGTAGACGTCTAGCGCACAGGATCTCCACGCCACATGACCCGGTGGGGGCTGGACAGGAAGAAGAGGAGAGGTGAGGAGGACCGATTGTGCCTCAGGAATAATTGAGTGAAATGGTGGTTTTTCTCCACTCAGCGGACAGGAGTGGAGGAGCAGCAGCATCTGGTAGAGGAGTCGAGGAGGAGAGAGCGACAAAGAGGACCCAGACGCACCGTGGCAGTATGGCTGTCTGGAATGGAGGCAGGAGCAGTCGCCTCACGCTATTCCTTGGCAACAAATGGCCCATAGCAAGGCCTCGGTTGTCTTGCTGTAGCGACAGCCGAATAATTAACCATCAGACAGAGGGATGACTACTTGCTGTCCACCTTGCGTTGGACCTCGCCTCTCATGGTTTATCAAAATGGTGGCCTCCTTCTCACACCTGCCTGACGATGGAAGAGCCTCGAAAACATACCTAGTGCACTATAAAAACCACCTATGAACGGTGAGCAGTTGTAGTCTCCTGCCTTTTGTGACGCCAACGTCCAGTTCCTCTCACACGACTGTGGGCCCTGTGCGCTCATATGCAAGTTTCCGCCTGCCACTGGCCAGCAATAGGGAGGTGTGGGTGTCGCTCAAGGATGCATGTGCAGCCTCTTTTATCCACCGAGCAGCGGCTGCCTCAGTCTGACAGTTCGCATGATTGAGATACTTTCTAGCTTTTCACCAGCGCAGTGAGAGAAACTACTAACCCAGCCGCCAGGCAGCAGCTAGCAGCAGCATCAGGTGGACCTGGAGCAGGACCTCAAACAAACAGGCTTGGGCCTACTTGGACAGCACACCCTGCCAACCGAGGTAGACAATCCCCTTGACTACTGGCGAGGCAACGAAAACTTGACCTTTGGCCCCCAACTAGCTGAAATTTGCCCTTGAAAGGCTGTCATGCCCGGCCACGTAGCCGTGCATCGTCAGCGCGTGTTTAGTGCGGCAGGAGGTATTGTAACTCCGCGGAGGACCCGGTCACGACTGTCCACCCAAAGTGTGGAGAGACTCACGTTTGTGAAAAGTGAATCAGAGGCGTGATTAGTCTGGATTTCAAACCACCAGTTTATCCTGACACAACTGACTAAAATAGCTGCTGCCAGGCCCCTAATCTGCCATAGGCCCCTATATACCTGCTCATCCTCATGCTGCTGCCAGGTCCTCAGAGTCTCTCATGGGTCCCTGTATTTACGGGCCCATGGCCCCTATTGCTGCTGTCTCCATCGCCACACTCTGCCATGTGCCACTTTCAGGTCCTCCTCACACACTGCTGGTGTGTAGAATTTTTTGACATAGGGTGCTGGCAGATTACGGGCCTCCCATAGCTGCTGCCAGGCCCCTAATCTGCCATAGGGCCCCTATATTCCGCCCTCCTCATGCTGCTGCCAGGTCCAGAGTCTGTCATGGGTCCCTGTACGGCCTCCCATTGCTGCTGTCTCCATCGCCACACTACACTGCTGGTGTGTAGAATTTTTTTCCTCACACACTGCTGGTGTGTAGAATTTTTTGACATAGGGTGCTGGCAGATTATGGGCCTCCCATAGCTGCTGCCAGGCCCCTAATCTGCCATAGGCCCCTATATACCGCCTCCTCATGCTGCTGCCAGGTCCAGAGTCTGTCATGGGTCCCTGTACGGCCTCCCATTGCTGCTGTCTCCATCGCCACACTCTGCCATGTGCCACTTTCAGGTCTCCTCACACACTGCTGGTGTGTAGAATTTTTTGACATAGGGTGCTGGCAGATTACGGGCCTCCCATAGCTGCTGCCAGGCCCCTAATCTGCCATAGGCCCCCTATATACCGCCTCCTCATGCTGCTGCCAGGTCCAGAGTCTGTCATGGGTCCCTGTACGGCCTCCCATTGCTGCTGTCTCCATCGCCACACTCTGCCATGTGCCACTTTCAGGTCTCCTCACACACTGCTGGTGTGTAGAATTTTTTGACATAGGGTGCTGGCAGATTACGGGCCTCCCATAGCTGCTGCCAGGCCCCTAATCTGCCATAGGCCCCTATATACCGCCTCCTCATGCTGCTGCCAGGTCCAGAGTCTCTCATGGGTCCCTGTACGGCCTCCCATTGCTGCTGTCTCCATCGCCACACTCTGCCATGTGCCACTTTCAGGTCTCCTCACACACTGCTGGTGTGTAGAATTTTTTGACATAGGGTGCTGCTGGCAGATTACGGGCCTCCCATAGCTGCTGCCAGGCCCCTAATCTGCCATAGGCCCCTATATACCGCCTCCTCATGCTGCTGCCAGGTCCAGAGTCTGTCATGGGTCCCTGTACGCCCATTGCTGCTGTCTCCATCGCCACACTCTGCCATGTGCCACTTTCAGGTCTCCTCACACACTGCTGGTGTGTAGAATTTTTTGACATAGGGTGCTGGCAGATTACGGGCCTCCCATAGCTGCTGCCAGGCCCCTAATCTGCCATAGGCCCCTATATACCGCCTCCTCATGCTGCTGCCAGGTCCAGAGTCTGTCATGGGTCCCTGTACGGCCTCCCATTGCTGCTGTCTCCATCGCCACACTCTGCCATGTGCCACTTTCAGGTCTCCTCACACACTGCTGGTGTGTAGAATTTTTTGACATAGGGTGCTGGCAGATTATGGGCCTCCCATAGCTGCTGCCAGGCCCCTAATCTGCCATGGGCCCCTATATACCGCCTCCTCATGCTGCTGCCAGCCAGTCCAGAGTCTCTCATGGGTCCCTGTACGGCCTCCCATTGCTGCTGTGTCTCATCGCCACACTCTGCCACTGTGCCACTTTCAGGTCTCCTCACACTGCTGGTGTGTGTAGAATTTTTTTGACATAGGGTGCTGGCAGATTATGGGCCTCCCATAGCTGCTGCCAGGCCCCTAATCTGCCATAGGCCCCTATATACCGCCTCCTCATGCTGCTGCCAGGTCCAGAGTCTCTCATGGGTCCCTGTACGGCCTCCCATTGCTGCTGTCTCCATCGCCACACTCTGCCATGTGCCACTTTCAGGTCTCCTCTCCACACACTGCTGGTGTGTAGAATTTTTTTGACATAGGGTGCTGGCAGATTACGGGCCTCCCATAGCTGCTGCCAGGCCCCTAATCTGCCATAGGCCCCTATATACCGCCTCCTCATGCTGCTGCCAGGTCCAGAGTCTCTCATGGGTCCCTGTACGGCCTCCCATTGCTGCTGCTGTCTCCATCGCCACACTCTGCCATGTGCCACTTTCAGGTCTCCTCACACACTGCTGGTGTGTAGAATTTTTTTGACATAGGGTGCTGGCAGATTACGGGCCTCCCATAGCTGCTGCCAGGCCCCTAATCTGCCATAGGCCCCTATATACCGCCTCCTCATGCTGCTGCCAGGTCCAGAGTCTCTCATGGGTCCCTGTACGGCCTCCCATTGCTGCTGTCTCCATCGCCACACTCTGCCATGTGCCACTTTCAGGTCTCCTCACACACTGCTGGTGTGTAGAATTTTTTGACATAGGGTGCTGGCAGATTACGGGCCTCCCATAGCTGCTGCCAGGCCCCTAATCTGCCATAGGCCCCTATATACCGCCTCCTCATGCTGCTGCCAGGTCCAGAGTCTGTCATGGGTCCCTGTACGGCCTCCCATTGCTGCTGTCTCCATCGCCACACTCTGCCATGTGCCACTTTCAGGTCTCCTCACACACACTGCTGGTGTGTAGAATTTTTTGACATAGGGTGCTGGCAGATTACGGGCCTCCCATAGCTGCTGCCAGGCCCCTAATCTGCCATAGGCCCCTATATACCGCCTCCTCATGCTGCTGCTGCAGGTCCAGAGTCTCTCATGGGTCCCTGTACGGCCTCCCATTGCTGCTGTCTCCATCGCCACACTCTGCCATGTGCCACTTTCAGGTCTCCTCACACACTGCTGGTGTGTAGAATTTTTTGACATAGGGTGCTGGCAGATTACGGGCCTCCCATAGCTGCTGCCAGCCAGGCCCCCCCTATCTGCCATAGGCCCCTATATACCGCCTCCTCATGCTGCTGCCAGGTCCAGAGTCTCTCATGGGTCCCTGTACGGCCTCCCATTGCTGCTGTCTCCATCGCCACACTCTGCCATGTGCCACTTTCAGGTCTCCTCACACACTGCTGGTGTGTAGAATTTTTTGACATAGGGTGCTGGCAGATTACGGGCCTCCCATAGCTGCTGCCAGGCCCCTAATCTGCCATAGGCCCCTATATACCGCCTCCTCATGCTGCTGCCAGGTCCAGAGTCTCTCATGGGTCCCTGTACGGCCTCCCATTTGCTGCTGTCTCCATCGCCACACTCTGCCATGTGCCACTTTCAGGTCTCCTCACACACTGCTGGTGTGTAGAATTTTTTTTTGACATAGGGTGCTGGCAGATTACGGGCCTCCCATAGCTGCTGCCAGGCCCCTAATCTGCCATAGGCCCCTATATACCGCCTCCTCATGCTGCTGCCAGGTCCAGAGTCTGTCATGGGTCCCTGTACGGCCTCCCATTGCTGCTGTCTCCATCGCCACACTCTGCCATGTGCCACTTTCAGGTCTCCTCACACACTGCTGGTGTGTAGAATTTTTTTGACATAGGGTGCTGGCAGATTACGGGCCTCCCATAGCTGCTGCCAGGCCCCTAATCTGCATAGGCCCCTATATACCGCCTCCTCATGCTGCTGCCAGGTCCAGAGTCTGTCATGGGTCCCTGTACGGCCTCCCATTGCTGCTGTCTCCATCGCCACACTCTGCCATGTGCCACTTTCAGGTCTCCTCACACACTGCTGGTGTGTGTGTAGAATTTTTTGACATAGGGTGCTGGCAGATTACGGGCCTCCCATAGCTGCTGCCAGGCCCCTAATCTGCCATAGGCCCCTATATACCGCCTCCTCATCATGCTGCTGCCAGGTCCAGAGTCTCATGGGTCCCTGTACGGCCTCCCATTGCTGCTGTCTCCATCGCCACACTCTGCCATGTGCCACTTTCAGGTCTCCTCACACACTGCTGGTGTGTTTTTTGAATTTTTTGACATAGGGTGCTGGCAGATTACGGGCCTCCCATATAGCTGCTGCCAGGCCCCTAATCTGCCATAGGCCCCTATATACCGCCTCCTCATGCTGCTGCCAGGTCCAGAGTCTGTCATGGGTCCCTGTACGGCCTCCCATTGCTGCTGTCTCCATCGCCACACTCTGCCATGTGCCACTTTCAGGTCTCCTCACACACTGCTGGTGTGTAGAATTTTTTGACATAGGGTGCTGGCAGATTACGGGCCTCCCATAGCTGCTGCCAGGCCCCTAATCTGCCATGGGCCCCTATATACCCGCCTCCTCATGCTGCTGCCAGGTCCAGAGTCTCATGGGTCCCTGTACGGCCTCCCATTGCTGCTGTCTCCATCGCCACACTCTGCCATGTGCCACTTTCAGGTCTCCTCACACACTGCTGGTGTGTTGAATTTTTTGACATAGGGTGCTGGCAGATTATGGGCCTCCCATAGCTGCTGCCAGGCCCCTAATCTGCCATAGGCCCCCTATATACCGCCCCATCCTCATGCTGCTGCCAGGTCCAGAGTCTCTCATGGGTCCTGTACGGCCTCCCATTGCTGCTGTCTCCATCGCCACACTCTGCCATGTGCCACTTTCAGGTCTCCTCACACACTGCTGGTGTGTAGAATTTTTTGACATAGGGTGCTGGCAGATTACGGGCCTCCCATAGCTGCTGCCAGGCCCCTAATCTGCCATAGGCCCCTATATACCGCCTCCTCATGCTGCTGCCAGGTCCAGGTCCAGTCTCTCATGGGTCCCTGTACGGCCTCCCATCCCATGCTGCTGTCTCCATCTCCATCGCCACACTCTGCCATGTGCCACTTTCAGGTCTCCTCACACACTGCTGGTGTGTAGAATTTTTTGACATAGGGTGCTGGCAGATTACGGGCCTCCCATAGCTGCTGCCAGGCCCCTAATCTGCCATAGGCCCCTATATACCGCCTCCTCATGCTGCTGCCAGGTCCAGAGTCTGTCATGGGTCCCTGTACGGCCTCCCATTGCTGCTGTCTCCATCGCCACACTCTGCCATGTGCCACTTTCAGGTCTCCTCACACTGCTGGTGTGTAGAATTTTTTGACATAGGGTGCTGGCAGATTACGGGCCTCCCATAGCTGCTGCCAGGCCCCTAATCTGCCATAGGCCCCTATATACCGCCTCCTCATGCTGCTGCCAAGTCCAGAGTCTGTCATGGGTCCCTGTACGGCCTCCCATTGCTGCTGTCTCCATAGCCACACACTCTGCCATGTGCCACTTTCAGGTCTCCTCACACTGCTGGTGTGTTGAATTTTTTGACATAGGGTGCTGGCAGATTACGGGCCTCCCATAGCTGCTGCTGCCAGGCACGTAATCTGCCATGGGCCCCCGTACCGACTCCTCATGCTGTGACGTTGCAACAAGGTGGAATTCAACCCTACATATGTTAGACCGCCTTTACGAACAGCGAAAGGCCATCACCGATTTCCTGATGTTAAAAGCGGATAAAGGTACTCCCTGTGTAACTTAGATGTCAGCCATTGGCAGCTCATGCGTGACACCTGCGCTTGCTCAGGCCCTTTGAGGAGGCCACGCTATTCGTGAGTCGGCAGGACTATGGGATGAACGACGTCATTCCTCTGTTGCACGTCCTGGAACAAATGCTGTTAACAATGGCTGGTCAGGGTGCGGTAGACGTGGCGCACAGATCTCAACGCCACATGACCCCTGTGGGGGCAGGACAGGAAGAAGAGGAGGAGGTAGAGGAGGACATTGGTGCTCAGGAATTATTGAGTGAAATGGGTGGTTTTTTTCCACTCAGCGGACAGGAGTGGAGGAGCAGGAGCATCTGGTAGAGGAGGAGGAGGAGGAGACAGAGGACCCAGACGCACCGTGGCAGTATGCTGTGGAGATGGAGGCAGGGAGTCCCTCGCATTCCTTGGCACAAATGGCCCATAGCATGCTCGCTTGCTTGCGTAGCGACAGCCGAATAATAACCATCAGACAGAGGGATGACTTTTGGCTGTCCACCTTGTTGGACCCTCGCTACCCGTTCAAAAATGGTGGCCTTTTTCACACCTGCTGAGAGGGAGGCCAAAATAACGTACTATAAAAACCACCTATGTAGTCAGCTGGTCTCTGCCTGTCTGCGCCAACGTCCATCCTCAGACACTGTGGGCCCTGTGCGCTCGCGTTCCGCTGCCATGGCAGCAGGGGAGGGGTGGGGGTGGTAGGAGCAGTGGCAGCTCCACCAGCAGCGCTGCCTCAGTCTGCATGATGAGTAGCTTTCTTCACACAGCGCAGTGAGGAAACTACTAACCAGCCGCAGCAGCAGCAGCAGCAGCAGCATCAGGTGGACCTGGAGCAGGACCTCAAACAACAGGCTTAGGCCTACTTGGACAGCACCCTGCCAACCGAGGTAGACAATCCCCTTGACTACTGGGCAACGAAACTTGACCTTTGGCCCCAACTAGCTGAATTTGCCCTTGAAAGGCTGTCATGCCCGGCCAGTAGCGTGGCATCGGAGCGCGTGTTTTAGTGCGGCAGGAGGTATTGCAACTCCGCGGAGGACACGACTGTCCACCCAAAGTGTGGAGAGACTGACGTTTGTGAAAATGAATCAGGCGTGGATTAGTCTGGATTTCAAACCACCAGTTCCTGACACAACTGACTAAATCCGCCATGAATCATGCCCCAAACATGTGCCACTTTCAGGTCTCCTCACACTGCTGGTGTGTTCCCATTTTTTGTCATAGGGTGCTGGCAGATTACGGGCCTCCCATAGCTGCTGCCAGGCCCCTAATCTGCCATGGGCCCCTATACCGCCTCCTCATGCTGCTGCTGCAAGTCCAGAGTCTCTCATGGGTCCCTGTACGGCCTCCCATTGCTGCTGTCTCCATCGCCACACTCTGCCATGTGCCACTTTCAGGTCTCCTCACACTGCTGGTGTATTCCATTTTTTGTCATAGGGTGCTGGCAGATTACGGGCCTCCCATAGCTGCTGCCAGGCCCCTAATCTGCCATGGGCCCCTATATACCGCCTCCTCATGCTGCTGCCAGGTCCAGAGTCTGTCATGGGTCCCTGTACGGCCTCCCATTGCTGCTGTCTCCATCGCCACACTCTGCCATGTGCCACTTTCAGGTCTCCTCACACTGCTGGTGGGTTCCATTTTTTGTCATAGGGTGCTGGCAGATTACGGGCCTCCCATAGCTGCTGCCAGGCCCCTAATCTGCCATGGGCCCCCGTACCGCCCTCATGGGCCCCCGTAATCTGTCATGGGCCCCTGTTGTCGCTTGTTGGCATATTCCGCTCGTTCAGATGCTCCTTCTCCTGCTACTCCTCTTCACGGATTCCGTCAGCAGTCTTTCTTGGAATCCGTTTCCAAGAGACAACAGTTTGCGAGCACGCACCAGACGGTGCAGAAACTGAACGTCCTCCTGTCCAAGTTGCTGCTGCCAGGCTCGTAATCTGTCATGCGCCCCTGTACCGCCTCCTCATGCTGCTGCCAGGTCCAGAGTGTGTCATGGGCCCCCGTACCGACTCCAAATGCTGCTGCCAGGCCCGTAATCTGTCATGGGCCCCTGTACCGCCTCCCCATGCTGCTGCCAGGTCCAGATTGTGTCATGGGTCCCTGTACGGCCTCCCATTGCTGCTGCCAGGCCTGTAATCTGCCATGGGCCCCCGTACCGACTCCTCATGCTGCTGCCAGGCCCGTAATCTGCCATGGGCCCCTGTACCGCCTCCTCATGCTGCTGCCAGGTCCAGAGTGTGTCATGGGTCCCTGTACGGCCTCCCATTGCTGCTGTCTCTATCGCCACACTCTGCCATGTGCCACTTTCAGGTCTCCTCACACTGCTGGTGGTTTCCATTTTTGTCATAGGGTGCTGTATGGCCTCCCATTGCTGCTGCCTCCACCGCCACACTGTGGCTCCACACTCTGGTTTTGGCCCCGTGACTGGCCCAAATGAGTGAAGTGTGCGGTGATTCTAAGATCGACGGCACTCATCTGCATGTCATACTGCCTGACAGTATTATTTCTCTTCCCCAGCAGACTCCAAGGGCATTTAAATTAAAGGTACAGTGTTCAGCACTAATATTAAGTCTCTATTTTCCTTTGTTTATCCTCATCTATCTCTATTCCCAGATCTATTTCCCATTTACCTATATACCTTGGTTTTGTGTAAGTGTCTAACTCAGTGAGGGTTTTATAAATTTTTGCAGTGCCTCGCCTCCCGTCACCCCGTGTTTCTAACAACCTCTCAAACAGGTTCCAATCCTCTCTCGATCTCAACGGTTTTGGGAGGTTTCTGACAAAGTGTTTTAATTGGTGATATTTCCATTCATCTATTTTAATAAAAAGTTCCCTTTTATCCCCTTTCAAATCCCCAAGTGTTCTCAATTCCTGTCCTTCCATTATATCTCTCAGTTGGATATCTTCTTTTCTAATCCATTTCCCTGTACTTTCCTCCTTACCTGGAGGAAAATAATCCGTATTCCTATTGGAGTCAACAAGTGGCACTTTCAAGGTACCAAAGAATTGTCTTAGTACGTGTTTAGAAGTAAAAATAAATGCATTGAAATAAAAACATAGTGCTACATTGGGATATTTTTTTTAGTAGGATAGCAATAGGTTTTAATGCAATGTAGGAATAAAACATACTTATTTCTAGAATTAGGAGGTCAAAGATAATCCACCATCAATCCAGGCTCCTCCGTACACAGACCGGGCTGATCCCAACATAGTATCTACTTCCACTGAGCTCCCAGTTGTTAATCCTAACATGTTAAACATATCCTTTGACGCCTCAGAGGATGGGCACAATGTGGTGGAGTCTATACCGACACACAATCGTTACAGTCCATTGCCTTGGGATCCTGAGTGTTATATTCAAGAAGGAGCTCACCTTAAATCTACAGTTCCATCACATGCAGATGTAGCACTTTCCTCTTCTTTTTTAGAAGTTCCTCCAAAGGGAGTTCAGAAAGAAAATAGAAAGCTAGAAGAGGCAAATGTGATGGTCAGCGATGTAAGATCAAGCAAGCAAGAAAGAATAGATTAAATAACAGTAAAAGTACCATAAAAATCTATAACTTATCCTATACTCTCACTGGAGCAGAACTCTCACTGTTAAGAAAAGGTTTTGCCCCCTCTGTGGGACCTAATAAATTTGGATTCTTTAAGGATTTGAACAAATTTGTGTGTTCATTGACAATCAAAAGACACTATGCTACAGATTCCCACAATACAGTTCTAGTAAATTGTCCTTACTGTGATTTTTCATCACAGTCGAGCGATCATGAAATCATTAATATATTGGAGGAATTATGGACTGAGTGTATTACAGATAGTCAATATTTTAATATTACCCTAGATCCCAAAGTAACACATACAGGTTTAAGATCAAAGTCCACCTTCTATCCAGCACAATCCAAGGGTCCCTTTATTGAAACCTTTTATAAGGTTTATAGGGACTTCTTGACCCTGTGTGCCACTTCAGATAAATCAATAGCCAATAACATCTCACATCACAAATATAAGGCTCTAAAACAGGGCTTGAAAAAGCCGCTCACCCGCTTACCAAATGCATGGAGAAATTCCTCTGTGGTGAGCGACGAGCAGTGAGCACAGATGAAGCATGGAGAGACTGCACCTGCGCTCCAAGCCTCATTGAGAAGCCGAGTTCCAGTTTACAACTTCCAGTTTCCGGCTTCTGCGGCACTGCCGCCGAGGGGACAGGTGCAGGAGAGGTCCGCTCTCCTCCGCTGAGAAGAGACACCCTCTCCACTGCCGCGGGGGACTCGAGGAGTAAGTACTGTATACATGTCATATCACTATAATGGAGTACAGGGGAGCTGGGATATACATTACTGTGTACAGTTTTATATTTTGGACTCTTTATTCTAAAGAAAAATGTAATTTCATAAGCTTTAAGGGGGCATGGTTGGGGGCAGGGCTTGGGGAGGGGTTGGTGGATGGTTCAGGGGTGGGGTCGGAGGTGGACCTGGTCAAAGTTGGGTGGGACAACTGGTGGAGAGTAAGGTTTGTGCTTGGCTAGTAGGTTTGTGCTTGGCTAGTAGGTCTAGAAATTTTAAACCCTACTCTAAAAGATCTAGAGACCAATAGGAATATTGTTACAAAAACAAGCAGATAAGGGTGGTAGTCTAGTAGTTCAAAATAAGGGGGATTAATTAAAAGAATCACTATGCCTCCTTTCTGATACTAGTACTTACATCAAGCTACAGGAGGATCTTTTACCAACTTACCAGTTGGCTTTGAAAACATTGGTCGAGGAAGCGTGGAGAGGGGGTGTGCTGGACAAGAGGGAGAAACAATTTTTGCTTCTTTTTGTACGCAGCACCTCTTATTTTTACCATCTTCCTAAAGTTCATAAATCATTAGATCATCCTCCAGTAAGACCCATAGTAGCAAGCACCAATAGTTTTATCAATGGTCTATCAAAATACATTGATTTCTTCAACCGATGGTCTGTCAACTTCCATCATATACTGTATTAAAGATTCAGGTCATGTTACTGAAGTCTTGAAACATTACAACTGGGAAGAAGGGTATAACTGGGCTTCTTTAGATGCATCATCATTGTATACATCCATCCTTCATAAAGTTGGCCTATCAGCTTTACAAAATTAATTGTCTATAAATTCTAATATGAATTCTAGACAGGCCCAATTTTTAGATGATAGTACTGAGTTCTGCTTGAAATATAATTTCTTTACTTTTTTTTAGATCAATTTTATTTGCAGACCAATGGGATAGCAATGGGAACTAATTTTGCCCCAGGATATGCTAACCTAGCAATGGGTTTGTGGGAAGAACAATACATTTGAGCCAACCATCCCTTTGCTATATATTTAGTCTTTTACAGACGATATATTGATGACATCCTCCTCATCTGGGATGGTGACCTTGATGTCTTTTCGGCCTTCGTAGCTCATTGTAATTCCAATTCCTTAGATTTTAATTTCATTCATGTGTTTGACCCAGATACCATTTTTTGGACCTTTTTTGGACCTTATACTGTCTCATGAAGATAAGGTCATATGTATTATTAACCATACTAAACTAACTGGGGTCACTCTTATCTTCTCTACTCCAGCTGTCACCATTTTGCCTGGAGAAATAATATTCCCAATGGACAATTTAACAGGCTCAGGAGAAATTGTTCAAAACTTGAGGTGTATAAATAAGAAGGGGAAATTTTGTCATCTAAAGTTATTGAAAAATGGTCCCCTCCATCTTTGGTAAAGGAGGCTTTTGATAAATATAAAGATCCTCAGATTAACAATAAAAATTCTTCTAGCAATCAGGATTGTAATACAGTGAGATTTATTACATGATACAATAATGCATACTGCAAGATCTCTAAGCTTGTTCATAACCATTGGAACATTCTCCATTTAGATCCTAAATTGGCTTCCGTTCTACCTCCAGCCCCCCAGGTTACTTTCAGAAGGCGCGTACAACAAAAAACATTATAGCCCCCAGTAAATTATCAGGATGAAAAGAGAGGAAAGGGAAGTCCGCCCCAACAATGCAGGATTTCTTTGAGTTGTTTAAAGAGTGGGGGATAATTGGCACGATATAGAGTCGCAATGTAGTGTGTAAGATGAATCCCCAGATAGGGAAGGGAGCAGGCAGCCCATTGGAAATCAAAATTGTCCCGAAGGTTCTGTACCTCCGAAGAGGATAAAGTAATGTTGAGAGCAGTTGTTTTAGAAGAGTTTAAAGAGAGTCCCGAAGCTTGAGAAAATTGATGAAGTAAGGTCAACAAATTGGGTAAAGATATCTAGGGATTTGAGACATATATAAGAACAGGCAGGGAATTATGGAAAGGTAATTTTTAATAAAATTATTATTATTATACAGTATTTATATAGCGCCAGCGGTTTGCTCAGCGCTGTACATTATAATGGGAGACAGTACAGTAACAATACAATACACAAGGGGTTCGAGGGCCCTGCTCCTTGGAGCTTACAATTTAGGAGGGAGGGGAGACTGGTACAGGAGGAAATAGCTGTGGTGGATGGAGTAGTGGAAAGAGTGGAGGAGATCAGCAATTAGGTGAGGGCGAGGTAGGCTTCTCTGAAGAGATGTGTTTTCAGGGTGCGCCTAAAGGTGAGGAGGGAAGGTGACAGTCTGATGGATTGGGGTAGTGAG